ATTATATTATATTATATATATATATATATATGAGGAGGGATCTACTTACTCTAAAAGTAAGTCTAATTAGATTTATTCCACTTGATAACATATGTTTTACATTAAATATCAACAATTCAACCATTCAATTAAAAGTTCGTATTTGATAGATCAATTATGCAAAGTTTTAAAAAAAATTAAAAATTATTTAATAGTTCATTTAATTAATTCAAATTAATAGATAATCATAAAAATATTTATACATTGATTTAAATTAATGAAACAGAATATAAAATAATTTTAAATTTTTTTTTAAACTTTGTAGACTTGATCTATATATTAAGAATTTTTAACTTGGTGATTAAATCGTTAAAATTTAATGTATAACACAAGTTATTGAGTGAAGTAAGTCTAGGTAAATTTGCTTTTGGAATAAATGGATCCCTTCTATGTGTGTGTGTGTTTTAGTTTGAAAAAATGCACTAGGGTGAAGAAAATTTAAATAAAGGAAAAGTTGACATGAAACAGGTTACTTCTAAAAGGGACAATTTGTTAGAAAGTCATTGAGGTTTTGACAATGAAAAGAAAGCATGGGAAAAAGAAAAATCCCGATTGGAGAAAGAACTTGAGGAAGTGTGACTTGCGTGAAATAAGACTATCAATGTCACCAAAATATTTTAGGGTAAGATCGCCTTATCTAAGGTAGAAATTGCGAAGTTGCAAAATGACGTCCAAGTTACCAACATTGAGGCGATGAGCAAGTTCGTCCATGGATTTGATGTAATCATCACTCAAGTGAATTTCCTCCATGATGACATCAATGTGAGTAAGGTCGAGTATTTTAAGGAGATTGTGGATGACGACTTCATGGATACACTAGAGGAAGATTGAGTATGGTTTTTGACTTGTTCTTATCATGTTTCTTTATTCAAGACATTTTTGTTTTTTGTTTCATTGTCCAAACGTACTCAATGTTAAGTTGAACGTAAAAACTTAACTTGTTATTTTTGCAAGCATTCACAAATTCCTATCTTTGTCACTATGTCATATGAGTTTCGACTTTTATGATTTGCATTTATTTGTGTTATTACTTTGCTTTATTTTCACTTTCTCGCCTATGAATTCACAACGGCTAATTTCCAACCTTGTAACATTTAAATGCCAACTTCATAACATCTAAATTCTGTACTCATCAATACTAATCAGAGTCTTACAAATATGTGTTTCAGGAATTTTTTGATGCTTAATTTTGACTACTTTACAAGTGCATGCATTCAACGAATATGTAGGTTTCTAATATAGACTAATAATATCTATTGGGAAACGTTAGAAAGGGTTAATTATTTGTATTTTCAATGTAGTCGTCATGCTTTGAGTATTTACTCCATAATTTTCCTTTATAAATTGGTCTAATAGTGAAACAACGTTGTAGTCCACATTCGTTGTTATTTTTGAAAAATGAATCACAAGATATTTGTTAGATAACCAAATAACTCAAGGATATGGGGATATGGAATTGCCTTGGCTTTCTGGTTATCTAACATGCAATTTAAGGTTCTTGGTTTATTTGTGTATCTAATATCTAACTCACTACTAACTATGGAGTCACCATGAACCTCAATTCACGAGCATTCTTAGGACTCTATAGTAAGAGGTGTATTTAATTGGTGTAGTGTTTATGTCATTTGTGGAGTTTCCTTATGCTTTGTAGAATGTAGAGACATCATTATGTTACACTTTATACTTCAAATCATTTTTTGTCAATGTAGAATATAAAACACATTGAAGTAATTTAAATGACATACCTTTATGCTTTTTATTTTGCCACCATTAGTATAAGAATTTTAATGATTATATTGTGCTTGTCAGTGTACAACCAAGTTGATTGTCAATCTTCAAAATTAGCTTTACCTTTATTTTTTTGTTGATTCAAGTAGGCTTGCAACTGAGTTGGTTGTGCGTGGTGATTGATTCACGATTAACCCATATGCACTTTTTTGTTTGTCTTTGGGTGACATTCAGTGTACAATTAATTCTACTTGTGTCGCGTTTGTTGGTGTACGACCAATTCAAGTCACATATCTTCGTTTTAGTCTCCGTGTGACGGTGTATAATCGATTCTACTCACGTTGTGCTTGATGATATACAACGGATTTAAGTCACATACCTTTGTTTTAGTTTTCACTAGTAGTTAGTATACAACCAATTTTATTCATGTTGTGCTTGTCAATGTACGATTGATTCAAATCATGTATCTTATTCTTTAGTCTTCGCATGGTTGTCAGTGTACGATCAATTCTACTTATATCATACTTGTTGGTGTACAAACGATTCAAGTCAAGTATCTTCTTTTTAGTCTTCGTGTGACAATTGGTGTACGACCAATTCTACTCATGTCACACTTGTCATTGTACAACTGGTTCAATTTATGTAACTTTTTTTTACGATCCTACTTATTTTTTGTATGAATGACACAAACTTTATTCCAATAATGTAACGCAACAATAAAGCAAAACAAATGGAACAATCAACAAAAGGAAAAGTAAAAGAAACAATTTAACTATAATAAAATTGTTAACTCGCAACATTCCATGTTCTCATAATTTTGCCACCATCAACAGTCTTGAGTCAGTACGTGCCCTTCCCTAAAACTTCCTTAATTCAATACAACCCCATCCATTTTGGGGATAGCTTATTCTTGATTTGGGTTAGTTGGGCGCAATTCAAAACAAGGTATCTTTTCTTGAACTTCCTTGGAACAACCTTATAGTCTTACTTAAATGTTGCACAACACTGAGTAGCCATTTGGTTAATTTGGTCCATTTCTTTTATCTCAAAAACTATGTCTAGGTCGGCACGCCTTCTATGTTCGTACTCCTCTTTGTAGAAACATATCGTTCACATAGCATGTTAACTAATTTCAATTGGAATAATAACATTTTTTCCATACACGCTAAGTTAAAAAGAGTCTCATGAGTCGAATATTGAACCGTTGTATGGTAAAACCAGAGAACTTTTGGTAACTTTTTCACCCATGACGAGCTTGATTCTTCTAGTATAGAGAACATACTAGGGTTAATCTGCTACTCAAATAAAGTCAAAGCATTCAAAAATGTATTCTGTTCATCTTTGCCCTTAATTAGGTTAGGGTTTTATACCTAACCATCATGACTTTATGGACCTCGAGAATTTCAAGATTTTATGGGTTCTTTATCTATTATTAGATATTGTATATTGATGTGTGATCATAGTTATTAAAAATAAGATTTTGCATTAGGTAAAACATTCAGATTATTTTCGAGTGGCCTTAGGAAAGGCTTGTCGGCTTTGTACTAGTTATAGGGGTTGGGCTAACCTCAACAAACCTCATGACATCCTAATCGGTTGTCTATTAGACATGTAGATCAGACAAACCTTGACCAGCTCTAAGACTGACTGTATATGTTACTTATCTCCCCATATATTCATACTCGACATGTTCATGTCGGCATGACCCATGTTCGGAAGGGTACACTTGTCCTCCATGTTAAATAATATCCAAGAGGGTACAATATATATTTAGAGAGAGAGAGAGCAAGGATTTGTTGACACTATATGTAAATTTAAAAACTTACACCAAATCATATACATTTGATAACTTTTTGTATAATACAAATTTAACCGATCTAACCGTTAAATTATGTGGTATTATATTTAAGATTGTGTGTATCAAATTTTACATTATTTCAAAATCATTTAATTGTTCATCACAATACTTTATCTTGATGTATATAATATGATATTTAAAATATGTATAAATATTCATCGATAAATTATATATTTAGAAAATTCCAAATCATATAAAAATTAATATATATGATCAAAAATAGATTAACAGTTGAATTATTTAAATTTATATTATAAAAAAATTTATTTAAAATATAAGATTCAATATAAAATTTTTAGAGTTAAACCTAGACTCATATCCATATATATATGGGGTGGGGGAGGGGGGTATAGCTCTTATCAAAGATAGTTTCGGTTGGAGTCGAGTAACATTATTGTACCCTATAAAACACTTCTTCCAAATATCTAATAAAGTACACTTTTTTTATCCCCTTAGTAGTCTATGAACTACGCTCCTGAATTGCAAAGGTTTCTGTCACATGTCAGAATAATTACATATAACAATTACTACAATAATGTGTACAACATTTGTGCACATTATTCATTTTGTTTTGTATATTCACATTATTTATTATATATTAAATTTCTTTCTCTTTCTTTATTGTATAAGTGTTCATATATCATTTCTCTAACCAAAAATAGTAAATACCGCCCCTATCGCCGTCCAGTCTAAGGTCCATGCAATGTGATCATAATCTCGTAGTCATAGGGGCTGGTCCTGCACTTCACTCACTTTATTCCAATTTCCAACAACCCTGAGTAGGGTACCTAATCTCATAGTCGATGACACATCTTAATATTCCTTCTCCCATGAAATGTCACCATAATTTTAAAATAATATCAATCAAATTGTTTCTCTCATCGACAACAGGGTTGTGCATGAGTCCTAGGAACAAATGCCCGGTTCTTCAGGAACATGTCTTATTAAATATTTAGAACACTTGTTTTTTGAGCTTCGTGAACACCGGCTTGCTTGTCTCCGATTCTTTAATCAACTTCAACCTGAATTCATGGCGCTCCAAAGCACAAGACTTAGATTAGTGTTCATGTAATCTATTCTGCCTCGTTGCTTCTAAACTCTCTTTTATTTGAGACTCAATTGGTCGCAAAAGCAGGTAGCTTGGTCAAAAGCTTATGTTAAGGTTGCAAGCTCTGTAAAGCACTTTTTTTAATAACACTTTGAGAAATCGGATTATTATATATTCAGTTGATTCAGCCTTTCATAGTTTGTAAGGGACTTAATTGGGTTTTCAAAGTAGACTTTTTTGTGTGTGTGTGCCTTCCAAAGTTTGCTAAGATGTTTTGTTGTGCTCTTTTGTGTACCATTTCTTCTTTTAATTGATTAATTCAGTGAGAGTTTGGAATATACGGCACGGTTTGCCAGTATTGTAAGTAGTTATCTGTTGCTGTTGTGCACAAACACTAAAACAGTACTCAGCCGGTTATTTTCAAATCACACCAAACATTTGCCTTTACCTTTTTCGGCTCCTGTGAACCCCAAATAGTGTGTGTCAATCAGAAGTCGAAACTAACCTTCTTTTGTGTGCTTTTTGGGTCGTTTGTTAATTTCTGCCTATATAAGGATTCCAAGTTTTTGAGTGGAACATTCGGTATTGGTGTGGAAACAGATTGATTGATTGATAGAAACCAAAATGGATGGTGGTTATTTTCCGCCTTGCAAAGTTGGTTCGTGGCATGGGTTAGAATTAGAGGATGTGCATGAAAATGATGAACTCAAACTGGTCTCATCGTTACCAGCCATACCTCAGCCACCTACCCCACATGAGCCTATGGAGTTCTTATCCAGGTCATGGAGCCTCTCTGCTGCAGAAATTTCAAAGGCTCTTCTGGAAAAACAGAAGCACACTTTCCATGACAAGAATCAAGCCTCCTTGCCAGAAGCTACTTTGACACATCAGTTAGTAGTAAGCCATGTTCTTTCCAATCATCATTATATGCCCATTTGCATTAATTGTTGATTGAATCTCATAATCTCATCATCAGCCATAACTCTGAATGATAGTTGCTTAACAAAAAGAAATATGCTAACAAAATTACTTGCTAATCTCTAATCACAAGTTTATATACCACCGAACACGTAAATCAACTTATGTAAGATTGTTTCGACTTAACTAATAGTCATTGATTTGAGTACTTGTTTATATATTTGCTTTTAAGTACATGAGTAATCTTACCTGACTCAAGTAGAATTATATCCTTCAAAGATATTTGTTGTCTTAAACCAAAATAATCACAAGTCCACATAAGTGTATAAAAATATGGATCGTATTGTGTTCTACCCAGCACCCTATTCTCTGCAAACTAAGTTTTCTACTCTTTCTTTTGCAGACAGGTGAGATCATACCTTCTCCTAATTGTAAAAAGATGGGTACCATTGGAAAATGGTTTCATCAGAGGCAGCATCGGAATACTAATACAACTGTAAAGAAGAAAGAAAGGGCACGTTTAGAAAATGCACGAGTGCATTCTGCTGTGTCCATTGCTGGGCTAGCTTCAGCCTTGGCTTCAGTTGCTGCAGCAGAGAACTCTAGTGGCTCTCACTCGAAGTTGAACCTTGCTTTGGCTTCAGCCACACAACTCTTGGCATCACATTGCATTGAAATGGCTGAACTAGCTGGAGCCCATCATGACCATGTGGCTTCTACTGTAAAGTCTGCGGTTGATATTCAAACCCCTGGTGATCTAATGACTCTTACTGCTGCAGCTGCAACAGGTATTTGCTCAAGTGTTTGGTTTAGCTTATTTACGAGATTTTAGTGGCAAAACAACGGTTTCTAGTCCTTAACTATCACAAACACGTGTTTTTAAGTCTGATTTACCAAGATAAAACATAAGTCATCCAATCTTTATCTTACAGTTTAGATTTTCTAAATGCCTGAATGTGTGAAAATGTCTGACTATAGGTATATCCACCCCTAAATTGGGGTGGAAATTATTCATCCTTATCCTTATCGATTTGAAAAGTGTTTTTAAGAGTTGTTATAGAATATGAGATGTTGATCATTTACGTCTAGATTTTATTGCTTTCTAAAATCAGCTTTGAGAGGAGAAGCAGCTCTAAGAGCAAGATTGCCAAACGAAGCAAAGAGGAATGCATCTATAAGTCCCTATGATAGGGTACTACTACCACAATCTCATTGGTTTCCTTCTTTTGAAGGTCAGATGAGTGAACCTCATCCTCCATGTGCAGGAGATTTGTTGCAGCTCACACGAAAAGGTGATAACACCAAACACGCTCCATCATAGTCAAGTTTTAATTTTACCATATGACATCCGATTAAAAATCTCCTTATATAAATTTGTCGATTTTTTCAATAATTATTTTAAAATTTACATTTATGATGTTTTTTTTATTAGATAACAAAGTAAAACTTGTACAAATTTTTATAATAATTATTTTAAAAGTTTTACACTCACCGTGCATGATTATTGAGCTGTAATTTTGAAGATCTAGAAGTACACACCAATAAATAATAATAGGAATTTGCTCATCACTATTTCTGAGGCTGTTTTGCTTTACTTTTTCAGGTGTATTACGATGCAAGCATGTTTCTGTATACATCAACAAGAAGTGCCAGGTATACTAAATTAAATTCTGGCTTAAACAAGCATTCATGTGAAGATGGTTTCGTTCACAATGATAAGAAAGGAATTTCTTGTATTCTCCTTTTGTTCAGGTCAAAATCAAGATCAAAAGCAAGCACGTTGGAGGAGCATTCTCCAAAAATAATAAATGTAAGCATTTTTCTCATTAAAAACTCCAACAACCGCATACCGACCACTTTTATCCATGCATCTATTGGCATCATAAAATTCCTTTATTTTTTTCTTGATTTGGACATCAAGAAATTCCCACTCTGCCCACTTGCCTCCATGTTTTTGGAGTTAGGTAGTCTAACTTTCATTGCATATATTGTACTAGGTGTGGTTTATGGAATTTGTGACAAAGATGGGGCATGGCCTTACAGAAAAGAAAGGAAAACGTCCGAAGAGTTGTACTTTGGCCTTAAAACTGCACAAGGTCTACTAGAGTTTAAGTGTGACACTAAATTCCACAAGCAAAAATGGGTTGATGAGATAGGGGGTTTACTTCATCGAGTTAACTCTGTTGAAGCAACAGAACGTTCTCTAGAATTTTTAAGAATTAACAACAGCATGTGACTAGTTTGAATTACATCGTATCACTGTTTGGTTGTTAAAAAATTAAGAGTTGAGTACTTAAGAAGACCTTTTGTTTTATTGAAACCAAAAGGAGTGTATTAAGTCACCTAAGGTTTCAAGATATGTAGAGTTGTAAAGAAAAAGGATCGGGAATGACATTTCAAAAAGATATTTGGAAAATCAAGGTTGTAAATTAATTTCTTTGAAGACAGTACAGCTGTACAATTATGTGTGTAATTGTATTATGTATATGTATGTCTAGAAGAATGGGACATTGGGACGAAATTTTGCCTATCGCTACTAAGACACAAAACTGAAGCAATGATGTTTATTTACTTAGTGCAAAACTGTATAAAAAAAAAGAAAAAAGTCCTTGACAGATACAACTAAAACCAAGTTTCTGATAAATCTATTTAACACAGAATTTAAATCTCTTCGAAGGCTTCTTGATCCTAAATATATATCTCAAGTTACTTTTGTCTCGACGTACTTTTCTTCTCTCAACATCTTTTGGTAGGCATCGCTTGTAACTAAGAGAAGATATATCATAAATATTTCCTTAATTAACTTTTTTTTTTACCAAAATATAAATAGGAAAAATGTTCATACCAGATCAAGAAAGGAATGATAAGTTAAAACTAAAAAAATTATAATTTACATCTTCTCTTGCAATCATCTCTCTCTAGCCTCTCTTTAGCAATAATAATAACCATTAAATATATTTAATGACTCAAATTGAATCTTATAAAAATCATTTAAGAAATTACATTAACTATATTACAAAATTAATCAAAATTATTATAATATTATTTAAGAAATCACATTAATTTTGTAATAATTTTGATTAATTTTGTAATATTGTAATTAATGTAATTTTTTTAAATAATTTTATAAGATTGAATTTGAGTCACTAGATATATCCAATGGTTATTATTATTACTGGAGAGGGGCTGGAAAGAAAGGATTGTAGGAGAGGATCCAAATCCAAAAACTTATGTATCTAAAGTGTACGACAATTACAATATTACGACATAATCAAAGGATTTATTGCTTATAATTATTTGTTTTCCATCAACACGTCATCACTTTCTCCATGAAATAAAATAGGTATTCTATTTCAGGATAAAATGTTTGGAGAAATCAAACATATAATAATAATGTTACAAGTAACAATAAGGAGAGATTTGGTATAAAGAAAGTTTACGGTGTATTTGGATGAGAAATTTAAAAAATTTAAAGAATTTAAAATTTTGGTATTTAAATTATTATGACTTTAATTTTCATCATTCTTAAAATATTTTGTTTGGATAAGTCAATTCAAAAAATTTTAATTTTAAATTGTTAGTTTAAATATGATAATTTGATTTTACTATAGTAAAATTGATTTTAAATATATATTCATATGTTGAGATTTTTACATTAAATTTTATAAAAATAAATATTAGTCAATTTTTAAATATTTAATAATTAAAAAATTAATATTAGATAATATTTAATAATTTTAAAAATTATTTTTAAATATTGAATAATTAAAAGCACGAAGAGATAAGATAAAATATATGAGTGAAATAAGAAAAAAAATATTTATTTATAAAGAATTTCAAATTTAAAAAATTTTACAAATATTTGAATTTTAATTTTTTTTTATAAATTTTCTATCCAAACAAAATATTTCACTTTAAAGAATTTAAAATTTTTCAGACAAATAAATTACCCAATTTAAATTTCACATCCAAGCACACTATTACACTTTTCCAAAGATTTAACTTGATAATATTTAGTTTATTATTTAAAAATTAACATTGAAAACATTTTTTCTAAGAATGATTTTTAGATAAAATTTTCACAAAATTTTTCTGATGGGAGATGTGGAAAACTAATATTCCTGAGTTAAAAATAAAATTTTTATGTAATAAAAACGTCATGGTACATTTATTGACTTGTTTAATGCAATAAAAATCATTAACATTTTCAAAAACATTTATAATCAATCAAACATATTTCCATCATTTTCCAAGGACCACAATTCCCAAGGATTTAAGATTCTCATGTTGTATTCATTTCACGAAATTAGCAATCATATAAGGATCCAAAGAATCAAGCTCAATCTTCTTTTTGTGCTCATATTTTACAACTAAAGTGAGGTATTATTCAAATTTTCCAAGTAAATGATGAATACAAATACAAATGCACTTATGCACCCCATTTTGGTGCACTATATTTTGGTTATGTGCTGTTCCCTCAAAATAAAACAGTTTTCTTTTCTTCATAAGGTAACACTCTGAGTTCACAATAAGATCGGATAGCCTTAGAAAGACATTGTTTCTCAAGGTTTTCTGATTTCTGCACAAAGCTCTGCAAATTATCTCTGTGGGAAACTCTCTCAACCTGCAAATGAGATCAAACCATTTTAACGCAGATAAATAGTATAGAGCCATACTTGAGGCTGTTTATTAAAAAAATGCTATAAAATGCATCTGCGCAATTTAACTATGTTTAGTTTACAGTCTAGCAAATGACACAGAAAAATAGTTGCACTGAAAAGTGCAAGACTCAAATATATCTTGAAAACTTGGTCTGCCTTTAGCTGAAAACGGAAGCACAAAGAATTTCATGCCGAACAGATTCTTCTACAGTGGTATCAATTTCTATTTTGTCAATAAGAGAGGTGCTAGTGATCTTAAAGGTAGCAAATGTAATCAAGAGTATTATAAAAACTGTCCAGGATTTGGACAGATCAATCTTTGATGCAATATTTTCCACCATTAGTTGCTCTGGTTTATTAGGAACCTGTGCAAAAATGTGGGTATTCTAATTGTTTACTAATTTACTTTAGAACAATAAAACAAAAAAAATTTAGTAAGAACATCTACGAGAAAATCCACCCTCAAAAATATATCTTGCATGAGTTATCCTTGCAATTTGCTCACTGGATATTAGTGGCACATATATCATGCTAATTTCGCCGATGTTTAGTCCACTCTTAGTGTCCCATCTAACTCTAGGTTGCTCCAACCAGACTAGGGTTTCTAGGATGATGGATCAGAAGGCAGATGCAGAAATATTGCCCTTGCAAATTATTTTAGTCTCCAGCATAAAGTGTAATTAAAAAGAAAAGAAAACATCCGAAATAAATGAATTAAATATGCTAAATGTCTATTACCACCTAGAATCATTTCAAACAGTATTACAAAGGAAGTAATGAAACATGAGCAACAGTAAAATGCGTATGAAAAAATTTATGTTCACCATTTGTTCAATTATAGGTCCGCCATCAAGTTCCTCAGTCACAAAGTGACTCGTTGCACCAATTAATTTAACACCTGCCTCAAAGGCCTGCCAAAATAATCTAGTATATTAAACGTGTATATAAGTGAAGAAAGGAATCTGAAAGACCACATAACAAATGGTAAAAAGTGGCAAGTTTAACCTGTGATGGTGCAGGAAGACCTACCTGTCTAGATGGATTACCACCCTTGAATGATGGCAACAGACCATGGTGAATGTTAATTACATCGTTCCCATAGCTCCTTAAAAAGTTTCCGGATAGTATCTTTGCATATAAATCAATGCTGTAAGTATTAATAGTTCAATACTATCAAATATTAACATTGATATACAGTAGAAGATAATCATAAACTACTTTTAGATTTTCATAACATGTAGACGCAGAGAAGAGCCAGCTCTTCTCAAAGGCACCAAAACTTCAAGAATAAGTTCAATTACCAGAATCTCATTACTTTGAATCTTAAAATATAATAAATACACAGAAAAGATGAATTCTCTATTACCTGCATATACCTCGCTAGTACTAAAAAATCAGTATTCTGAACCAGCTGCAATATCTCCCCTTCTCTTTTATTTTCTTTAGTTGTGCATAAATAATGATAAGGAATGTCATGCCTTTCAAGAAAACGAATCACATGGGTGTTTGAACCTCTATGATGGTTACTGGTGAATACATCATAGAAGACCATTAAAAATTAAATAAATATGAAACATATAAATGAATTTAGTGGTGTAATTACTGGAATTTTACCTAATTACACAAGTGATATCCACCGGAAGTCTTCCATCCTGCCATCCATGCAATAAATCAACAAGGCAGTGGTCCTGCAGCAAAAAAAAAAAAAAAAATCCTTCAAACATTGATATTCACCTAGGTTTATAATATTTTGAAAATAAAAGACAAGAAAAGATAACAAGAGTGATAATGCACACCTGCTTTGATGCCAGAACTGCTATCTTATATTTAGGATCCAGAGCTGGCACCCTTACAACAGATCTTATTGCATTGAATGTTTGTGAAAGCTTTAGGAAGTCCTCCTCCATTTGCACCCGTGGCCATTTAACAGGATCAAAAACAAAATCACTGCAATGATCAAAACAAATTAATGCCACTGCCATCAACGTTTCCAATTCCATATACCCTCATTCAAACAACTAATTAATTGAAGACGGTCGTGTTTAGATCTGATTCTTTATAGCATGCATTTGGTTATGAAGAACAAGCACCACAAACTGGACATCAGTGCATGATAAAGCATATACATACATGGTATTTTTACTTGTTCAGAACTGTCCCTATGGGAAAAAATTCCAAAATTCCTCCATATACACAATGAAATCAGATGGAAGAATTTCAGTAGTAAGCAAAGTCAGTGTCAGCAATAAGCAAGAAAGAGACAGAGAGATTCCTTTAACCCTAAAAGCTTAAAGATAAAAATGTTATTGGCCAGGACAAAACTTACATACTATAAGTTTCGTTCTCCAATCAAAATTGGCATTTCAATAGAGTAACCATTGCTTTCATCTAAAACTATCAATAAGAGTCTGTTTGAATATAAGTATATCAGCGTTTTTGAGAGTTTCTCTACTGAAAAATACTCTTTATTATGAGTAGAGAAGCTCTCAAAATCATTTCTTTTTTGGATTCAAATAGACTCTAAATAAAAAAGATATGTGAGATATAAGCTCCCGTTTGGATAGACTTCTTAAAAAACACTTTTAGAAGATAGAAAAGAAAATTAAAACATAATCCAAAATTAACTTATACACAAGTTTAAAATAAGATTTTGGAGAAGCTAAAAAGATAAAGCTTTTACAAATTAGTTTGTGCATTTAACTTGCGGAGAAACTTACCTAATGCTGATTTTGATTAAAGAACAATGCATATAGTACTATATTTAAGTTTTGTCCTATTAGTTACCCAACGAATTAAGAATGCAATTCATAGCCAACACATTAGACAACATTGATTATGTGCGCGCTTTAAATGAATCATCATGTAAAGAAGATAATGAGTGTACCTTCTTGAGTAGAAGACTTGTTTATTTTCCGGAACAAAAACATCAGCGGCAAGAATGTTTCCACCTCTAGAGGCAATACAGTCCGATAGCTTGGCTACAATTCCAACCGCATCCTATTCACAAAACCAATTTCAGTTCCCATTCCAAAACCACATTTCAGAATTCACAAATAAAAGCAATACATAGGAGCACAAGTAGCATGTATACTCTACGGGTTGGTTCAATATAAAATGGTTCCTTTTGGTTAAAAAGAGGATGTAGATAGAGAAGGCTAAGAATGTTAGTTACAGGGCAATGGAAGACGTGGATTCCGTGGGTGAGGGAGGAAGGGGGATCCAAAGACTTGAAGGACATGTTCCTGTTTCTGTTGGCCAACCCCACAAATTGAGGGACTCTTCGGACCAAGGCCATTCTCTGTGTGTGTCTGAATCGCAATGTTGAGGATCAAGCACTAAGCTTTGACATGTTTGATTTGATTCAACCAACACCGCACTCTCTCAATCCTCTACCATTTGATTCGTTTTGTTGAAATGCGTGTCGTGTCATGAATCGTGTTCCATTACACGACATGCCGTTTTGCTTGTCGTCTTTCTTTTCTTTATTTCTAACTACATGATCTACAAACATTATGGGAGAAAGGAATCTTTTGAATACTTTATTTTTTAAATATAATTTTTTTTTTAATTATTTTCATCTTATTTAATATTTTTTTAAAAGAATATCACTCAATCATTACATAAATTTTCAGTTGTGTTATCTTTTTTATATTTATAACAAAAATAATTTTTAAAAAATTATAAAATTAGTAAAATATAATATAAATAATCAAATTTTTTAATATTTGTAAATTTATTTTCTTTTACTTATCTATAATCTATAACAAATATAAAATCTATACCTGATTTGATATACACATTTTTTTAACAATTTTATCTTTATAACAATTTTTAAATTATTCACTCCCATTATTTCTCTGACTAATAATAATCACCAATTTTTTTTATTTTTTAAATAATAGAGTCACATATCTCTCACTAATAATAAATAACAGAGAGTATGTTATTTTTTAAAACATGTTTTTAAAAATATTTTTTATTATTAGTTAAAATTTAATAGAAATAATAAAATAATATAAAGCTCATTTTTATTTCCTCGGTTTTGTTTATGATTTTATAACTTTGAAAAATATCAATCAACAATAAAATATGTGACCGATTATATTTGTAAAATAAAAAAATAAAAAAAAAGTACCGGTACTATTGAAAAATGAAAAACAGCTGATAGATTAACACGTGCATATGATAGATCAAATGTTTGTTATATATAATTAAAATTTATAAAGAATTATATATGTAAATAAATAATATATTTAAATATATAATTAAAATTTATATAAATAGACATTATTAAATATATAAAATTTTTATTTTATATAAAATACATGATTATTTTTAATTATTGATAATTTATTTTAAAATATTAATAATTAATTCATAAATAAATATGATAAGAAAATGAAAGAAATTAAAAAATATTAAAAATGTTCTTGAATCCGGTTGAATAATGATTTTTAAAAATATTTTTCTATGTTTAATATATAAAGGTTGGAGGTTGATTTAATTTATAAATCGTTTTAATATACTTAAAAAATTTCATATTATTTAGAAGTCAAAATTAAAGGTAATTTATAAACATTTTCCCTTTTTAACCTATCGAGACATTTTTTTAAGGATTAAATTATGACGATCCAACAAATACTAAAATGAACAATACTTATGACTTCAGATGTGATGACAAAAATAAATATTAAATTATATAAGAAATTAAAATAATCCTTATATATTTATGTTAAAAAATAACTCTTAAAAATATTTTTTCACAAAATAGTTATTCACATTTTATCTATAAGAATTTATAACATTGAATTTGCTAAAGCAAGATTTTGAATAGATGTACTTCCATTTTGGTGTGTTGGGTTAAAGAGAAAGTGGCTAAAGTATATTTTAAAAGAATTAAATATGATATTATTTATTGTAAAACGATGAAGTTATGATTTTAATTATTGTAAAAAATATTTTTATTCTTTTAAAATTTAAAATATCATTTTTATACAAACTAAAATTAAAATTTATTAATTTTATAAAATTCAAAATTAATGATTCTAAATTTTAGAGAGAATAAAAGTAAATATTTTATAATAAAAAAAATTAAAATTCGCTCATTTTATAACAACTAAAAATATATTTGTTATTTTAAAATAATCCTTAAAAAATATATCTCTGTTATATTAGTCTTTAAACTTAAAAAAAAAGGTAAATAAGTATTTTTCTAAAATTTTAAAAATTATAATTCAAATGACAATATTAACGTATATTAAAGGATAAAATGATAGTAAGTAATTAAGTTTAAAATTATTATATATTTAAAATTTTCTTAATTTTAATGACTAATGTAACTCTATATTACTCTTTAAGAAATCAAAGTAATAGTTTACTCGAATGAAAATAGAATGAGATGGATAGAATATTATTTTCCTTTTTTGGTTGCCATATAAATAAGCCTGGAATGAAAGTTTTGTAGGCTCCATATTAAAAAAAAATTATTTTCAATTTGGAAAGAAAAATAAGAGAATTTATAAATTTGAATTAAAAAGATAAAAATGTCAATGAGTTAACTGTTGTGTCATTGTTTACTTCCGATGTGTTTCGAAGTAAATCGTCCACTTAAATTGAATTATGATAGATATTAATTGGCCTACTCGTGGACTAAGGTTTATTGTCTTTTGAATTCAATTAGCTCTTAACAAGAATAAAATGAGTGGATAACTCCAAAAATTAATATAACACAAACCAATAAGAATTCTACTAAAGTAGCGATGTATTATAAATGCTTAGTGTGTGTTTGTTTTTTATTGATAGCATATGTTTTTAAACAATTAAATGAAAAAGTATATTAGAGGAAGCTTCTAAATGAATTTACTTTTATTTTCTTCAAACCGAAAATTAAACACATTCTTATTTAATGTAAAAACAAGCTAATGGTATTTGTAAAGAACCAATATGGGTTGAATTTTTTATTATAAGCCAAAATCTCTCAAGAATAATGATAATTTCTCTTGATGTAATTTATTATTCGCAAGTTTTATCTCAAGTATCTTGCATTTGATTAATAGTTTGGGATTAAGATTTTATAAAAGATAAAACTTAGATACAGTTATTTAAATATAATTACTATTGTTCTTTAATTAGAGTTAAATTTTTACCTTCATATTATGCATTAATATTTAATATAAATATTATTGAAGTAAAACTTTAGTTTTGATCCAACTACACCTAAAGAATTGTAAAAAATATTGTTTCCTTATGTGAATTGTCCCACAAGCCCAATTGAAAACAGTTTTTCCTTGTTTGAACAAACATTTTGAGTTGCAAATCCACTTCTATGACCCTTACATAATTATGGATGGTTTTTAGGCAAAAATGTCGATGACTATATGTTTATGTATCGATCGAGTTGTGAATTGATAAAGGGACACATGACATCTTATTGTTAAACATTGTCCTTGACTTCTTGCAAAAGTTACGATAATTATCATAGGACTTCGTGTAATAATCACAACAATTTTAAGTCTAGTCAAAATATCGCTTTTTCCTTACGTTTATCATCAAAATATCGTATCAATCGTGTATATACTCTTTATTAACAACATCATTCATAATATTATATTTTTCTCCTCTTCACGTTTTTTTTTTATTAAAGGAATTTTGTAAGTCTCTTATAAAACTTATGGCCTCTTTAATATTTTGTAAAAAACTTGTGTTCTTCTAAGGCTTTTGATCTTCTAGATATGAACATATAGGATCCTAACATTGCCTCAGTGTTTTTAATTTATTAGTGGAAAGGTTAAAAAAAAAATATAGAGAGACAAAACAAAGAGTTATCTATCTCAAAGGAAGAAGGATTTTGCAAAATCAGCATAAACAAGTATTAGTAAATTGGGGAGCATGCAAATCAAATAACTAAACTAAGACAATGTTATTTGATTAATTAATATTTTAACTATTGAATATGTTTTGATTTACATTGAAATATTAACTAAGGTTTTACGTGTTTAATTTCATGTTAAAGAATTGATATGGGTCCAAAATTAATTCATGTTTGCTTTAGCATTCCATTCCATTTATAAGTAAGTTCTTGTAGCTTTTACATCAAATTGAATCGTTTAATGTGATTTTTGTGATACATATGATTTGAAGACAAAGTTTTAAATATGTTAGGGTAACTTTGTTATTGAATCTAAAGCATTATATTTATTTTTAGCACTAACTTGTTTTTAAAATAAAAATTACTTCACTTTAAAATAAATTTTAATTGAAAAAAGTTTGTAAAATCAATTTAATTCAAAATATTCAAATACTCATAGCTTATGCATTATATTTTTTTGGTGCATATACTCATAGCTTTTTTTTTTGGTACATATACTCATAGCATGTTTTTTTATTTTGGTACATATACTCATAGCTTATTTGGTTTCCCATCACTAACATCCATTTGGTGTCCATTATGATTTATGAAGCAGTAAAGCATAGCTTCTACGTTCTTTTATGTGAAAATTTAAAAACAAGGATAAAAAGGTTCACATAATCACACGGTCAGTAAAACACATTCAATCACGTTAGCGAGTGTTTCATAAAATTATTGATTTTTATTTTATATCAATCTTAATTATAATGATGAGATATGAGCTTTCAACAGTGTGTATATTACTCTAAACCTCCCACCACAATTAAAATTAGTGATTAAATACATTTTAAGTTTTTAACTATTTTCATTTACTTAAAATAATATCCAACCATCTTTATATTTTTAAAATCATATTAGTTATTGTAAACAATACACTAAAAGCCTTGTTAACTTTTAGAGTGTGTTTGATTCACAAATTAAATTATCATCCTATTTTTAGTCGATTTTATTCGGTGATTCTTTATGTTCGAACTAACAACTTCAACATAAATATGTTTAACAAATTATGATTTCTAAATAAAACTTGATCATTATTGTGAAAATGATATCATATAAAATAAGTGTAACAATGGTCAATTGATTAACATGAATATCAATTGAAGAAATCATATATGAAGCATTTAGAATAAAATTCATTAACTAAACTAAAGCCAAATGAAAATAAAGTAAAAATGTATTATAATAAATACAAGAAAATAAATGGTACATAAATACATACAAACATCCCTCATAAATTAGAAGTCATGAGAGTAGACAAATTGATGTATAGAATAAGTTTGAGTGAAGTGCTTCTAACCTCTAACTCAAGCCCCGATTCAAGTGTTTAAAGAGAAAAAATGATAACGATCATTTAACAACGACCTTACACATGTACAATTTTAATAACTTCTAAAATTTGACTATAACTAATCTAACTTCTAAACTTTCAATACTCAAATGTTATCGTTATAGATCACTCAATTCTTAGACATCCCTTTTTAGCTTTTTTCCGGCCAATCTTCC